AAATCAAAATCAGAAATAATTTCTCAGATAATGTTAGAGATGATGACTATAATGAAAGGCACAATTAGTGAATCTAGACAAGATATAGATTTTAAAAAATAGAGGAGCTTAGAAAAAGATGGAAATCATGAATGCTCAACATAGGAAAGAAATAGAATCAATGAAACAGATTCAATCAGATATCCAGCAGATTAAAAATTCTATTGAAAGTATATACAGCAGAATGAACCAATGTGAGGACAGATTATCAGGTCTAGAAGAGAGGATTGTGGTTAGCAATCATGAAAAGAAAGATTTCTTAAAAATAGCAAAGCACCATGAAAAATCAGTCCAACAGCTGATTGGATGATGCAAAGAAGAATATCATAAAATTGATCAGAGTCAATGAAAAAGCAGGAGATAGCACAAACAACACATACACACAAAAAACCTGTTCATAGAAGTAATGGCAGAAAACTTTTCAAGCATGGAAAAAGAATTTGATATACAGATAAGTCAGGCATATAGAACTCCAATTAGCCATGATCAAACAAAAATTCTAACCCAAGACATATAATAGACAATATGCCAGAAATTCAACACAAGAACAGACTACTAAAGGCTATTACAGAAAAGAAAAAAATCACTTATACAGAAAAGCCCATCAGAATTACAGCAGACTGCTCAACACAAACTCTTACATCAAGGAGAGCTTGGAGTGAAGTATTTCAAGCCCTAAAAGAAGACAACCTCCAACCCAGATTGATGTACCCCACAAAACTATCTTTCAAAACTGATGGAGAAGTAACATACTTCCATGAGAAAGAACACCCAAAGAAATTCATGACCACACAACCAGCACTCCAAAATGTTCTAAAAGACATTTTAGAAAGATATAATGTAGACTATAACTCCACGAACTCCAACAGAATGAATCTACCAGGCAAGGCAAGTAATTAAACAGAATGGAAAGAAAGGGAACCAACAACAGGTAAATAACATAACTAGGATAATTCACCAAATAAAAGAAACAGACTGAACAAAAAAATAAGAAATGCACTGGCAGAATGGATCAAAAAACAAGATCTAACATATACTGCACACAGGAACACATTTAACTCAAAAAGAAATTCATAGACTATAAATCAAAAGATGGAAAACAATACTCCTTGTGACAGGAACCTGGAAAAAAGCAGGGGTAGCAATTTTATTTACAGACAAAGTGGATGTCAACCCAAGCCTGATCAAGAAAGACAAAGAAGTTCACTACATACTTGTCAAGAGAACAATCCAAGGAGGAGAGATAACAATCATAAATATATATGCACCAAATGCCAACAAACAATTATATATAACAAATATTAACAGACAAGAAAAGTCAAATAAGCACTAATACAATTGTAATGGGGGACTTCAATACTTGACTGTCACAAATAGACTGATCAACTAGACAAAAAAGTCAGAACTAAACCAAATTTCTGAACAAATGGACTTAGTAGATTTCTACAGTGTTCCACCCCACATCATTAATACCTACTTCTAGAACCTGTATTCTTATAAGATGGAAAACACAGAAGAAACGGACAGATTCCTAGATACATATGAATTATCAAAACTGAATCAGGAAGACATAAAAAGTCTAATTAACTCAATATCAGTCAATGAAGTTGAAGATGTAATTAAAAACCTACCAACAAAGAAAAGCCCAGCTCCTGATGGATTCACTGCTGAATTCTACAAGAAATTTAGACAAAATCTAATGCCACTACTCCTTAAACTCTTCAATGAAATTGAATGAGAAACAATACTCCCAAACTCATTCCTGAAAGCAAGCATTACCCTGATACCAAAACCAGAGAGGGATCCAATACAAAAGAGGGCTAAAGGCCACTTTTTGTTGTTGTTTTGAAGGCTTATAGGTCTAATCACTGAGGTGAACAGTTTTTTTCACTTTCCTTGTGTTTTTATAAAAAAAGAAAGGCAAAATGCAATCAACCCCATACACACTCTTTAGACCCAGCTGACAGTGGCGGGACCCTGCACTCATGGGCACCGGCCAGCACACCAGACAGGTGCCCAGTGTATCACTGGCGGAGTGACAGCTGAGCCCCACACTCAGACTCCCCCGAGGACCCCTCTAAGAGCCGCACCCTGGCACACCGAGGCTCCCCTGGCTCTGCAGCTCCCTGGCTCTGCCTCCTGGGAGTCACGTGGGGCTCTGCCGCTGTGGAGCACCTGCCTGGGAGTCAGGCCACGCCCCCACAGTCCATCCCTGGGTGTGAGCCCAGAGCTCAGACCCCTGAGGGCAGCCTCGCACGGACTGCTGACTGGCGGTCGATCGCCCTCACCCCTTGGGAAGCTCTGGGTGGCAGAGGACCGGGATCCAGGCCCCTGCCCTCCATGTCTGGTGAGGGCATTCTTGCCACATCCTCGTGGGGCAGCAGCAAGTGGGAGGGCAAAGGGGACCTGGCTCATTGCCTCCATCCCATTCTAAGGTCACTGATCTCATTGAATGAGGGTACCAACATCAGGGTGCAGTCGCCCCAATGGCCCTGTCTCTTAATGCCGGCACACTGGAGTTTCATCTCCAACAGGAATTCTGTGACAAATATTTAAACCACAGCATCTGGTTTTCAGTCCTTTGGGGTATGCACCCAGAGCTGGCACTGCCTAATCACATGGTAGTTCTGTTTTTAACTTTTTGAGGAAGCATGTACTGATTTCCACAGTGCCTGCACCTTTTTACATTCCCACAAAGCCTGTGCACAAAGTTTACAGGTTCTCCATGTCCTCCTCAATGCATGCTATCCTACTTGGTGTGCTAATACAAGTGATTGCTGGGCCTCTTGGATTCTATCTGGTGACCCTCTCAGAGCATGGGGATCACTGAGTTCACTAATGGGACATTAGCAGATTTGGCATGGCAGGGGCTTGGATGAGCTCCTACCCTCCACCTCCCACTGTGTGGTCCTGCAAGGCTGGCCAGATGAGGACAAAAAGCAAGGGAACTGCAGCCTGCATGAGGGGCTCCTGCCCTGGCCAGCAGCTGGCCCGCCCTGCCCATGCAGAGATGGGTCGGGACAGGCGGAGCCACGGAGCTCTGCATCTGGGCTCTGCAGCATTAGCTGCTATGTCTTGAGGGCTCAAGGAATGGACTGAAAATGGGTACCTAGCAAGGTATTCATACAGTAAAATGTTCCCCAAGTAACTCGAGTGTATAAACAAGAGCTATGGCCATTCACAGAGGTAAGTCTCAGAACCATGCTGGGCAAGCAGCACAACTCAAATGTTCAGCATTTACAAACACGAACTTCTACTTAGCTACACAAACCCACAGTGAGAACCTAACTTCACACCTCAGGAGCCTCCTCCCAAGTGGGAGGAAGTGGATGCCACCCGGGCAGAACACGCTCCCTGACAGGCACTTCTGCGGGGCATTGCTCTCTGAAAGGCCGAAACGCCATCAGCACTGCATGGCTCAGGATTCCCACTGAGCAACAGCACCCGAGCAGGGTCACCCAGTGGAGAGGAGCTACCAGGGCTTTGGTGATAACTGTCCACACCAGCCAGGCGGAGATGCTGTCTTCCTTGTTAGGACAAATGTGTGTCAACTGTCAATTATGGACCCGCAGTGTGAATATCGATGTGTAAAATCTATTGTGTTCGAGACATTTCTCAGGCAAAAAAGTAAAAGCAGCAAATAAACATATGAAAAAATGTTCAACATCACTGGTCATTCGAGAGATGCAGATGAAAACAACACTGAGATTCCACCTCACCCCAGAAAGAATGGCTGTTATCAAGAAATCAACCATTAACAAATGCTGGTAGGGCTATGGGGAAAGAGGAACCCTGCTCCACTGCTGGTGGGAGTGTCGACTGGTGCAACCACTGTGGAAGTCAGTATGGAGATACCTCAAAGAACTAGGACTGGAAGTTCCATTTGACCCAGCTATCCCTCTGCTGGGTATCTTCCCAAAAGAATTAAAGAATCACACCACAGAGATATATGTGCACCCATGTTTATAGCGGCACAGTTTGTAATAGCTAAAGCTTGGAAACAGCCCAAATGCCCATCAGTTGGAGACTGGATGAAGAAAATGTGGTTTTTTTATAAAATGGAATACTACTCAGCCATAAAGAATGAGAAACTAGAGTCATTTATAGCTAAATGGATGCACATTGAGGCCATACTCTTAAGTGAAATAAATAGGACACACATGTGTAAATACCGAATAGTTTCTCTAGTGTGAAAAACTAAAAGTGTAAGTAAGGATCAAAATGTATAATTGATAATGTGAAATAGGAAGAGGAGGTCTAAAGGGGAGGAGGAAGTGGGAGGGGAAGGGGAAAGGAAAGAAGGGAAAGGAAAAAAATATGAGAAAAGGAAAAAAAGGAAACAAAGACTTTGTAAATAGGGAGGGGTGGGGGTTGAAGGGAGGGCAGGGGAAGGGAGAAAAATAAGAACCAAGATGCTTCATGTACAGGTACAAGATCCCAGTGATGAATGGCATCATATTGTATACCTAACATGCACCAATGAACTTAATAGAAAAAAAACAAACTATTGTGTTCACATCAGCAAATATTTAAAAATTTATCCAAAGTGTTTCTTTTTATCCTAATCTGGATTTTTCTGACCTTTAAAACAATATTTAATTATTTGCTATACTTATAGAGGTAAAGCATGTTCATATATGTATACATGTATATGTATGTATATATATATATGCTTTCCAAAACCATGTACTGCTCTGAATGCCCTAAACAATATATGAAATGCTAAGTCTTCATGCCACAAATTCCCTTTTTTATTTTATTATCTTTCTGAAGCTAAGTTAAATTTGTCATATTTTAGAAATATCATTTGTCCATAGCGGGCCAAGAAAGTGACCTCGTGCTAGAAAGATTTTTGCAAAACTTCTGGAAATTTTTCTTGCAAAAAATATGGGGAACTCTATTCATGGAAGTGGAGTATTTGTGAACTCTACATTTATAAAATAAACCTACTTTGAACTCACCTCCGCTCTGTGAGGAAGGAACCCACATCCTTGCGTCCGGCAGTCCACGGGCTCTGCCCTGCAGCCCAGCCGGCGCGGGGCCCAGGGAGACGGGCCCCGTGGCCGCGGTGCTCGCAGGAGCTGGGTCTGGGGGGCTCCAGCCCTCCCGGGTCTGCCCCGCTCGGATTCGAGGTCCGCTGCAGCTCCACCTCCTGCACAGCAGGGGCCGCTCTGCTGTCTTTGCTCTCTAGATGCATGCTCTGCGGCCAGTCTTCTCTCTAGCGTCAGCCAAAGAAAACCAGTGTTGGTGAAAAGCAGCCTGAGAACAGGGCCTCCACCCCGGGAAGCCACAATGCCAAGTGGCAGGAGAGAAAGGCTGTTTGCGCAAGAGCCTTTCGGTGTCCAGCGTTCTAATATCACACAGGAGCGGGCTGTGTCTGTCTCCCAGGGTGAACATTTCAACACATTTCACACTAGCAGTGGCCTAAGTATTCAGCAACACAACGTTGAAGAAATGGTCAGGTGTGCATAGTACAAAATACTTTGCAACCATAAAAATGATCTACAGGGACATTTATTGATGTTAGGAAATGCTAATGACATGGAAAGGACAATTGAATACACTGAGACTTTGTGTAATTTTCTACACAGATATTTTTACTAAATAAATATGTACAAATTATATACATAGAACAGAAGCGCAAAAACACACATCCTCCACACCCCTGGTACCTCGAGGGTAAGGGTACAAATGGCTGGGCATCTTTTCCTCTGTCTTTGTGAAAATGAGAAAAATCACTGTACTGGAAAGGTTATGGTGTCCTACTTTTTGTTCTATATTTCAAACCATTTAGTGTTTTATTTTTTTACATTTTCCAATACCCTACAATTCCTGCACTCGGCTCCGCAGAGGCCTGGCTTGCTATCAAGGGCTGCCATGAAGCTGAAGGTCAGCGTGGCTTTCGACTGGGGCAGTCTGCGGCACTGAGACGCAGAGCTGTGTCTGCAGTCAGCACACACACCACTCCGTTGCCAGATTCGCACACAGCACCTGCAGTGCCCAGGCTGCTGGGAGTCAGTAGGACTTGAAGCAAGTACAAGGTAGGTGTGCTATGTCCATAGCCAAGCAGCTGGTGCTCCAGTTCAGACCTGGATTATCCTCCAAGACCATGTGCTGAGGCTTGGCCCTTGCTCAGGGTGCTGTCAAAAAGCTACGGAAGCACCTTCCTGGTGGGAGGTCTCCGCTGAGGGCAGGTTCTTGAAAAGGGCAGAGGAACCTGGCCTCTTCCTTTCCTCTCCCCTTCTCAGCCCTGAGAGGAGTGGTTTCTGCACTGCTGGGTGCTCTCACCATGATGGGCCTCCAGGGGCCAAGCCATGGACCAGAACCTCTGAAACTGAAAACCTTGATCACCTCAGTGTTTGCCGTGGTACCAGACACTGACTAACACCATCAGGGCACTGCCAGCAGGGAGGCCGTGCTGCTGAATGGAGTCAGACACATTTCAAACACAGAAAGATGCTGGCACTGACTGAGACCCATTGATCAAAGATGTCTACACATCCTTCTCACAACAGATACTTCTTTACACTGTAAGTGCCCACAAATTTCAGCACAAAATGAAACAACAACAACAAAAACCAATGGAAACAGGAGAAGACAAGGCAACAGAATACTTCCCAAAACAGAACAGCAAAAGCAGTTCTGGGCAACAAGGCCAAGGGTTAACTGGGCAAAAATCCCAGGCTTAAGTTATACTACAAATGAACAGTGATCGAAAACAGCACGGTATTGGGGGAAAAAGACTTGTGGAACAATGGAGCAGAAGAGACAATGCAGAAGCAATTCCAGGCACACACAGCTACCTTATCTTCGACAAAGGGGTCCAATACTTTCACTGGAGGAGAGACAGCCTCTCACAAATGGCGCTGGGAGGGGGGCAACCCACTTCCCGGGCCCCCTTCTGCCTCTCAATAAATTTTTCCCACTCTTGAAAAAAACCAAAAAACAAAAAATGAATGGTGCTGGGGAAACTGGCTTTCCACATGCCAACAACTATGAACCTAGGACCGTCTTTCTCACCGTGCACTAAACTAAAATAAAACTGGATATAAATATTAAAACAGAAACAATCTGCTGGAAGACAAAATAGGTAAAACTCCTAAGACATAGGCGTAGGCAAGGACTTTCCGGACAGAACCCACTTACCCAAGAAATAACACCACAAATCAACAAATTCAATCGCATCAAATTAAAAAGCTTCTGCACAGTAAAGGAAACCAACAGAGTGAAGAAAGCCTATAGAATGGGGGGGGGGGTGCCAGCTCCTCAAAGGACTAATAGCTAGACTATATAAAGAAATCAAAATAACGAGACCCCTCAAATTTAAAGACCCAAACAAAAAGTGGGCATCTGAAATAGACAATTCTTAACGAAGAAGCCCAAGTGGCCAACAAATACATGAAATGTTCAGCATCTAACCTTTTGCATTTGAGAAATGCAAACACTGAGACTCCATCTCACTCCAGAAAAAATGGTTATCTTTAAGAAATCAAACAGTAACAAAAGCTGAAGAAGCTGCAGGGTCGGGGTGGGGGGTTCTCCATTGTTGGTGGGAGTGTAAACTGATACAATCACTATGAAAATCAATGTGGAGATTCCTCTGAAAACTGAAAATAGAAATCCACTTGATCCAGCCATTACCCTTCAAGGTATCTTCCCCAAAGAGTTAAAGACATTATACTACAGTGACATATGCATACCCATGCATATAGCAGCACAATTCATAATAGCTAAATCCTGGAAGCAGAGAGTATGTCCATCAACATATTCAGATAAAAAAATGTGATATTTACACACAATGGAGTACTACTCTGCCATAAACAAAGATAAACTTGAGGCGTTTGTAGGAAAATGGGTGCACCTTGAGACCGTAATGTTATGTGAAATAAATGTTATAAATGTATTAAATATCACATGGTTTTTCTTATACAAGAAACCCAATACATAAATTAATTGCAAACTAAAACACAGGCAAGGGGCCGGGGATTTAGCTCAGTGGTGCCACGCCTGCCTCGAAAGTGCAAGGTCCTGAGTTCAATCCCCAGAACCAAAAAAAAAAGACAGGCAATAGGAAAAAATGAGAAAAGAAGTTATTGTCACCCAGCATAGCCAATGTCTCTGAAAGTGTACCTTGATTTTGTATAATTGTTTTGTATGTTTTTGGTTTGTTAGTCTGGCTATTAATCTGTATTTATAATAATTAACTTGACAAAGGCTTATAAAATAAGTATGTCTGAAGCTGACAAGAAAAAAAAATCTTATAAAAACCGGCCTAGGGCTGGGGATTTAGCTCAGTGGTTTCGCCACCCGCTGCACAAGTGCAAGGACCCAAGTTCGATCCCTGGTACCAAAAAAATAAAAAAATAAAAAAATAAAATAAAATCTGGCCTAAAGGGGAAAGGGAAATAAAAGGGATTAAGATGTGTCATGTACACGTGCCAACTTCACACAAGGAATGCGTTCATTATGCACTGCAAACACATGCTAATAAAAATTTTAAAATTAAAAATAAAAAACCAGGAACACCACTTTTAAAAATCCATACACTAAAACATAAACGGAAACTGCTCCTATCACCCGGCAGTGGCTCCTCCAGACTTTAATCCCAGAGAAATGAAACCTCCACTGGCACAGAAACCTGCGCAGGAAGCTCCAAGCTGCTCCCGCGACCCTGCGGAGCGTTCGGAAGTTTCCTTTCAGGCGGCCTGGCCTGGCCTGTCCCAGGGCTCTGGAGCCCAGCAGGCGCAGGGCCAGAGCGCGGGTCTCCCTCCCCTCCACGGGGCGCTGGCGAGGTGGCAGCTACACCTGCTCCTGCTAAAGAGGAAAGGGAGCCAACAGAGGCCGCAGGACAGGCCAAATCCTCGGACGAAAAAGGGCAACAAAAAGGGAGCAAAGGGAAGACAGAAAAAGTGGGCAGCCAAGAAGCTAAAGATCCACCTGCAGAAAAGAGAACCCAAAGCGGGCAGAGTGCGACCTCTGACGAGCAGAGAAAGCAGCCAGGTCTGATGGATCACACACACCCTCTTGTACAATCCAGGGGAATATTTTATCAACCATTTTGTAAATGTCTGGTTTTTAGTAGCTCAAGAAACTTTTTTTTTTTTGGTACCGGGGATCTAACTTGGGACCTTGCACCTGCGAGGCAGGCCGCAGTTGAGAAACATTTTTTTAAAGGAAGGCTTCCCACCTCATCACATTTTTTAAGTGTAAATGGTTCTTTTGGAGGTAAAATCATTCACTGATTGGTTGTTTTGGGTACAAGCAGAAAACAGTGGGGTTTTATGAGTTTTGAGGGGCTTTGGCAGCCTTGGTTGTCATGGTTACAGTGCACAGGTGGGGCGTGGTTTTATACCCTGCAATACAATGCACACTGAGTGCCAATCTGGAGTCACAGTCATGCATTTCAAATGTCTTGGATATTTTAAATGATTTCCATCCCCATGTTGTCTTGGTAGAATTATTCCCTAAAGAAAACCTTACTTCCTGATCGTCAGAATCCTATGCACTCTGTATCAACTTTGGTCGTGGTGGTCCAGTTTTCCTAATTTTGTTAATGTGCTGTGAGAGATGGAAAATCTGAGTATGTGATGTGCATACAGATTCTCCTTGTTAATGACAGAGTTCTGTTCCTGCTGCTGGGTCCTTATATGAGTTGGTCTCAAAATGAGGAATTATATACAGTACATACATTACAAGATTCAGAACAAAGAAATAGTCAAAGGAAATTTCAGTTTGATATCTCTGCTTTCATTGCCTCTTACATGAAGTGCTGTAATGTACAATAGAACATAAAGCCACAGCACTGTACTGTACACTACAATCAACAAAAATCACAGCACATATAAGCGAGGAGTACTGCACAAAAAAAGACACTGAGGCTCTACCAACAAGATGTACAGAACTGTACAAAAAAACCCAGACAAGTCGTAGTCCCAAAGCTGGTTGTAATCCAAATAGCTCACCTCAGTAATAAGTCCAAACAGTCATTAAACAGGGACTATGTGTTCTATACCTATTTTATTCAGGGTTTTTTTTAAATCATGAATGGATATTGGATTTTGTCAAAGGCTTTTTCTACATCTATTGAGATGACAGGTGATTTTTCTTCTTGCTTCTGTTTATGTGATATATTACATTTACTGATTTGCATGTGTTGAACCATCCTTGCATCCCTGGGATGAAGCCTACTTGGTCATGATGTATGATCTTTTTGATGAT